GGAGGGGTCTTATTAGTGATTTAAAGTGTGGTCGAAACAGGAGTGTTATTTTGCACATAAATAGAAACCTTCAACTTATTTCGACCCTCATTGTGGGTTTAATGTATAATGTAATTAGGATGGATTTACTTGAACAGCCTATCACATGCATATGATAACAGCAGCGTTGCTAATACTCCTCGTTACTCCAAATCAGTTTGCGTAGATAAAACACGGACTTAGTTGATTATACCACTTATTTGTGTGGTATTCAGTATTATTACTTTACGTTCCGTAATGTTATGTAACTTAGCCGTATATACTTGGCTGTTCAGGTCATATGTTATGTGTGTACATGTATTTAACGATCAAAGGTTTGTTTGCATCGTTCTTTTCTGAAACAACAGTACGTTTTGATGTTTTTTCTCGTTAGGACGGTTGCCAGATACAGGGTTTTAATAGCATTAACAAGGATTTTGACTTCGGTACCAGTGCTAAGACTCGTATTGGAATTATTGGCTCTCCAGATGTATGTAATCAAGCTATGCAGAGCAGAATTGGGTTTGGCTCCGCTGGAAGTTTTTACCAAATGGACGACTCGAATTCGTGTGGAAACCAGCTACGCGGCTTAGTATCGATTAAGGCATTTGGCTACATATTTGTTCAGTAAATCTTGAATAAATTTCATTAATTAATTTCTGTAAGGCCTGTAGTGGGTACATTATGTAGTAGAAAAGTTATCATCCTGAAAAACTGCTAATTTTAGGAGAACTGATCATACTTCTGATTAAAGAATTTAATTTAAGTTTAAAAACTTAAATTGATTGTACTACAATCATAGACTGTTAAGAGAAAAGTTAGATAAATGATGGTTTGGTTCCGCAGGAAGTTTTTACGCCATGGACGATTCGAATTCGTGTGGAAACGAGCTACGCTACAAAGTATCTATTAAGGCATTTGGCTACATATTTGTTCAGTAAATCTTGAATATGCTAAACTTAATTTCTGTAAGGCCTCTGGTGGGTACATGTATATAGTATAAAAGTTATCATCCTGAGAAACTGCTCATTTTAAGAGAACCGATCACACTTTTGATTAAAGTAAGACTTAAATTGATCGTACTGCAATCATAGACAGTTAAAAGAAAAGTTAGATAAATGATGTTATAAAAAAATGAAAATGAATTGTGTGTTTTTTAGTGATGGCGTCCAGAAAGAAATGGTAAGGGAAGTTGGAGGGGGGAGGGGGGAGGTGGAGGAGGGATTCACAAGTGTGCGACGAACATTTTGGAAGTGAAAAATCATCATGGAATTTGAATTGGTGTAAAGGTCGCCCAAAGCCATGTTAGAGGGTCTCAGAGGGGTTAACCGCTAGCCATAAAACGGCCAAACAGTTTAGCCGTTTGCCGTAAAAATTGAAAAATTTTAACTGTTAGTCGTAAAAAGGTTAACCTTGAAATGAATTTCTGGTGACAATAATGGAATGATATGAACCGTTAGCCGTAAAATAGCCAAATTTAATTGTTAGCCGTAAAAGACATCCACCCCATTGAGACACTCATCGTAAGATTGGCTGACCATTGGGAACATGGCAGCGCAGAGAGGTTTCCTCATATCATGTCGACTTGCAATTGTTCTCCACCGCTATGGGAGAATCCACAACTGAGTACATTCAATCCTTGAAGACAGCAACATTTTATGTATTGGATAGATTATCTGCATTTTTCACAAAATTAAGCAAAAAGGGCGAAACAAAACAGAAATCCACTCACAATTTTCTTTAGCAAAAAAAATTAATCTCTTCATCGGTATCAGATCCTTAATTTGTGCATTTCCCTATTTGCACTATATCATGTGCAGACAAAAGATTATAAACTCTTGTTGCAGAGTAAAACATTATTACAAAAGAAGGCGTCGGCTTTATCAAGTATAAAAACAGGGCCATCGATCACGTACATAGTTTTCACAGTCTGAAAAGATACTTTGCGAACGATGAATCAGATAAGAATGCCGTTCATCTACGATCGCAACAACAGATCTGTTCAGCATCTTCCGCTGACCTTGTCGATTTGCAGGGGTAATACCTTCCTAAAAGAATTCCCAATACTCAATACTTGCTCAATAAACTGGTCATCCCGTCATCCTTACCATTTCCCGTCCCCCAACCCGTTTTAGACTCAATAACCTTTTTACCGTAGCTTTGGAACCAAGCCTTCGTGTATGGATGGGGGTCGTGCGAAATTGTGGGACATACTCGAAATTCACGGCTACAGGTAAGTTATAAGAATTTGTAATAATGCTACTTTTGACGCGAATCATTCATCGGAATAGTCTCCTTGGGAAGAGTTCAAATCCCCCCCCCCCCCTTTTCATTTGCATGTTGAAGGCACAGAACGCTAATGAGGTTTCTTTTCCCCGTCGCTCCTAAACTGGGTGGCTTTCAATGAATCAGCGAGGAACTCGACCTGTACTTTGTAGTGCTCTCCATTGGTTTGTATTCATTCGTTCTAAACTTGTTTGGGTTATTGTCAGCAGAAGTTCACGCCTGAGCTTTAAACAACTGGCTGGTTTTTCACTGATAGTTGTTTAATGGAGGTGAAGTGCTCTTCATAAATAGTAAAGTGATGTTGAGAGTTTTAGCTCCTCATTACAGTTCATAGGCTGACTTGGCTTGATTGTTATTTTCAACAAATTAAGAGCACTTCAAGCATGACTGACGGAATTTGCATTCTTTGTTGTTGATGAGAGAAAAAAAAATCATCTTGCAAAATAGCCAGGGAAAAGTTGTATGGTATTCTTTGTGTGCATGTAAATTTAATATATTCTGTTGCACAAATAGATTCCCTATTCCGCAACCCTTTAACGGCACGAAATTACTTTGTTGTGATCTCTACAGTTTGGATGTTAGCCTTGCCTTTCTCCAGCTTGGTGTTCTTGATTCCCGGCCAAGAATGCAGTAGGAATGCCATTCGCGGTTATCCTGCTGTTTACTATTTGCGGTTGTAACATCGCAGTTTGGAGAAAGCTTAAACAGGGAAGCGTCTCATCACAACTGCAGAATAGAACCTCGCGAAATAAACGCGTAACAAGAACTTTACTGTTTGTTTCTACCCTTGCCTTGTTTTGTTGGCTTCCTTTTGTTATTTCGAATGGTTTAAGGGGGCTCGGTGTTTCGATACCATGAAGACATGCAATGATTGTCAATTTTCTCAATTTTTCTAACTCGTTTGTAAATCCCATCGTTTATGCATTGAGAATTCCGGAATTTCGACGCGTTTTAGCAGTGTGCTGTTCCACAAAGTACTGGAAGTTGAACAAAGAAGATAAAGAAACTGGAAATAACAAAGCAGACCCTTTGATTCCACTGACACAGAAAAGATCATCAAGACCTGATTCCAGTCCCCCACAGCTGAAGTTTGATTATGTAAATACAGAAACCAAATTTATGTTAACCGAATAACGAGACCTATTTGCGCTTCTAAAGTAATGCATTCTTCAGGTCTTGCCTTTTGTTTTGTCCGAGTACTTTTAACTTAAAGCTAAGTTTCTATATGAATCAAAGACAAAACGTATTATACTTGAGAAATGGTTGATACATTTTCCAGTAAATCCCAGTGTAACACTTTCAGTATTTGTCAAATAAATCAACGTAGAAAATATGTTTACGATGTTTATTTGTCAGGCAAAGAATTTAGAGATTGTAAGCCAGAAAAGA